TTTTCTGGTGCAGATGTGCTTGTCATGCAGCTGTGGTGGTGGATGGGGCCCAGTGGGACTTACTGAGAACTCTTAGGAATACCTGGGACAAGATAGAAGCACTGGGGCAGGTGGGTGAGAGAGCAGGAGGCCTGGGCTTCTCGGGTGAATGCGCCGATGTCTATGCCTATGCACAGCTAGCATGCTCCTCTTGTGCAAAGCTGCCATGAGTAGAAAACACAGTTATTTCAAAGAGCTGCTCTAGCCAAGTGCAGCAACCAGACAGGGGTGCCAAGCGTGCCTGTCTCCAAGGTCTGCTGTCGAGGATGGTGCTGCATGATATTCCACAGCCATGGACGGACACCTGGAAGGTAGTGCACAGATAGAGGGGGAAAAGCAGTGTGAGGCAACCAAACAGCGTGTGGCTGCAGCTGCATCAGCATTTGCTAGGTGGAAGAGGACAGCAAACATCGGAGGATGGAGAATCTGCTGCTGCCATGGCTGCTCCTGCCACCAATCTCAATGGCATAAAAGAGGAAACTGGGAAAACATTGCAACTGAATTCACACATAATGACAAAGCTGAAAGTGGGAAACCATAGAACAGACCACTGATTTTCCATGAGAATTCAAGGTAACCAAAACATGCCAGACATCCTGCCGTGGCTTGTCCTATGGGTGAACACAGCCAATATGTTCCCTCAGCGATTGTCCTCATAATATTCTCTCCACTTGCCTTAACAATACCTAGAAGTGGATTCCTTTCCTTCTTGAACTGATTTATACTGCAGTCTATTAAGTGCCACTTCCGTTTGTTGGGTTTAGTAAAAATAGCACACGTTTGTATTGTGGAGGACTATGCATTTTTGTTTTGATGTGATTTGGGTTACAGAAACATTCATAAGGCTTGGAAGCGTAGAATAGGATTATTATTTTGCCATTGGTCCAAATCTCTCAAATGGCCACTACAGGGGGCAAGGAGATCCTAAAAATGGATTTGTTGCATTTTTGCAGCAGGACAAGTTTCGCCCTCAAGACCTCACATGCTTTACATTACATATGCAGGTAGAAGGTTTAAGGGAGCTTGTACAGTGTAACATTTACAGTCAGATTTCCACTGCAGGAGACTACATGGAGATTTGTGCTGACTTTGTAGTGTTTTACATTAATACACCAATACTGAATTTCATGCCTAAGAAACCTTCACTCAGCTTCCTTTCTCACTCAAACCAGTTTGCAGCAAGATAATCCCAAAACTTAGCACACCAAAACTCTTTTGCCTTTCCTCTTCTCTTTCCCATCATAAAATGCCACTGCTTGCCTGTGAGCAGGACTTTTGAGCACTAGCCTACAGAGTGATAAAGAATTTTTTGAGACATCGCCCAATAACTGAACTCATCAATTTGTGTGTCCAAAAGGCCCTACTTCTTTACTTTGCATGACAGAAATTATGGTCATAACATTAAACAATTTTCTGAAAGATGAGATGGGAAAAACAGTTCTAAATATTTTTTCAAAGGACATCTCTGTGTCTAAACTGGAAACACATGGTTGTAAAAATGCCTGGCTCCCTGAGCTAGTTGCTTGGGTTTGTCTTTGTGTTTGTTTTAGGTAGAAAGTATTTCTAAAATAATGTTTTCAAATACCCACATACACAGTTACCTGTGATGAGAAAACCTACCCAAGGGAGAAAAATATTCTGTAAACTGGAGAACTCATTAGTTTACACTCTCCATGTGCCACAAATTACTAACAAAGGTAGAGGGAAACAAGGTGCAAAATAAGCTTTGTGCATTTAGTTGCTCCAATAAATCCAAATATAGCAGAACATAGGCTTTCTTTTTCTTCTACCAAAGGTTTCATGTATTCTGCTCAAGGATGCCAGCCAAACATCTGTACTTAGATACATTTATGCAGGGATCTGTTTAGTAGTTAATGTAGCCATAAAGTCCAACTCTAAATATATGGCTTAAAAGCAACGTCAGTGCAGTATCAGCTCAATGTGCCATTTCATATGAAAACAGGACACGATTAAGAGAGTGTGATGCGTTGCTGTTTCTTCAGTTATACAGAAGCTGTTTGTACCCTAACAGATTTCCTTGGATTAGTGAAAGAACATTTAAGGAGCAGCACCACAAAAAGAAGGAAGTGAAACAAAATGGGTGGAATAAATATATGTTAAAAGGACATCACATAGTTCAATCATGCTATCTACACACATGCTAAAGTACAGGTTTCATGAGTGATTCATAAAAATTTCCAATATTTCCTAATTAAGTGCTACAATATCAAAAATCTGTGGTGTTTCAGTGTAAAATGTAAGTCTGAAAAAATCAGTCTCAAAAGTGTTTCCACAAGAAACTCTTATTGTGCAACTTTTCTTGGTCCAAGAAACACTCCCATAACTGTAACCTTGTCTTCAATATATACTAATGATATCAACTAATATGGTTTTATATTATATTGTTTTGTATATGGCTTGGTAATTTAATCTAAGTGAATCAATTATTATTGTAAATCAATTAATTTGCCTTATTCACAGAATTTTACATGAGGTCTATTTAGCACCCTCCCATGTTTTTCTACTGCTTTTCATCAAAAAAGTTAATTATCACAGTTAAGTACTCTGAACTACAATGTGCTGTTTTATAATTACTTACTTTTATTAGAGGACTAAGCAGTCCTAAGTACACATTATAAACTTGTGACGAATTAGACTTACAATCTTACATAGCATTTCATTGTGCTGGTTTAATGTATTATGCCTAAAGCTTAAAAATATTGCTACCTTCCTTAACAGCTGATAATGTACATTTTTCCATCATCTATGTAATGTCTATTTGCAGACATGATATATCTGTTTGCAACAGTATCTGTTATTAAATATAGGTTTTAAAATAAAACACCCTGCAATTTATTTTTGATACCAAGCAGTCCTCCAGATTCCACAAATACCATATTCCTCCCAGCATAGAAATAGTTCACATTATTCATTTATAACAAAGCAATAAGATCTGATGAAATATTTTGAGTGTACTTCATAGTCCACACCCTTAGCTTCCTTCTCTTGAAACTGGGTGAGGATTGTTTGTATTATTTCTTTCCTGTTATTCAAGCACTTCTCCCATGGGATACAGCAGACCAATGTTTACATATTTTAGATCACAATGGCAACACCAATAGTTGCCTACAAGCAATTTGTAGTTGCTTACAAACAAGATCAAATAGGTTTTCAGAACCTCTGCTAAGGTGGAAAGGCGTGGACCTGCAGCTGGATGGGTCACTACATGTGAAAGTGGAGCAGGGAGCTCGACTCAATGGCCTTATAGGCTCCTTCCAACTGCTATTCTTTTCTGTTCTATTCTTTCACCAGTAAATAGTTTCTTAAAAGACCCGCAAGTCTTAGGTCAGTATGTATTAGAGTTTTAGGTTACAAGTTTTAGGTCAGTATGTATCAGAATTGCTGATTATTCCAGTAGGCACACTTGTACTCAATCGATTTCCTACTTCTAATTTCATCTGCACAGGAAAGTTGTAAGACATAATAGTGTACCAGCTAGATGTGTGTGTATTCATAAGCACTTTTCAGGTAATCCCAATGTATGTTTATTAAACACACAAGGAGGGAGAGCATGCTGAACTTCTGCCTCCCTCTACATGTGGAAAACAACTTTATAAAGAGAGGCTCTGCTATCTGTGGGGGCTTTCACATGACCCAGAACACTGATTATCCAGCATTCCAGACTGCGTAGATTCCCTGTGGATAGAGAATTCTCTTCAATTCATAAAATTAACCTCCATGTGAGTGACAACAATAATCACAGAAGGAGGTTGGTCTAGCATGCTTTCCCTCCTCATGCATCTAACACACAAGAAAGCCTCTATACTTCCCACTATACCAGCAAATCCTAATATTTGCCAGGGCCTGTACAGAAATAATCTTGCATTTAGCTCAATAGTTGCATTAAATGGAGTGCTACAATGAAGACAACTGGGGGTGGTGATTGGGCATTTAGGCTTTGTTCACTCAATTTAAAAATGGTATTTTTTTTCTTTCCCTACAACTTTCTTCTAGTAGTTTTCCCCGTCCTCCATGTTTAATAGTTTTAATGTGCTTGGTTGCCGAAATTTCTAACTGAGATAGTATGTGGACATTTTTAAATCTCCAAATATTTTTAGACAAGTAGTTTACAAACATGGGAAATAAACCTCTTTGTCTGAGTAGATGTGGCCAGTGTAGCTACTTGACTTGAGCTTCATGCTATGCCTGTATAGTACAGTGTGGCATGCATCTTCATTATCTTGCTGTCCCTTTAATCCTCACATGAAAAGGCCTGGCCTCAGCTGTTCCAGGAAAGAAATGCAGATATTCCTATTCCTTGAAGTTGGCAAGATGCTGGGCTGGAGCTAGCAAAGATGGAGACCCAAGTGTATGTACCTACCCACTGGTATTACTAGGCGAGACCAGTCGTCCAGGATAGCATTTTGAATTGTGCCAAATTCTTCAGGGAAGTTTGCAAGCTTCCATTTCCCCATTTTTTCTCTCCTCAACAACTGACAGAAATGCATTGCATGACGATCATGGCTAATTACATTTCCAAAACTTATCTCACAGTAGTTCTTTAAATCGCCCTCAAATCAAAACTTGCTTTAACATGAGTGTTAACTGATCCGGAATAGCCTTCTAACATTCTAGAAATGGTAAGTAAACTTTGATACCCACTCTCAAGTAAACAAGTAAAAATAAAATAAAAATAAAAAAGTAAACATCTTGATTAAGATAAGGTTTACAAAAATTACTAGTTTTTCTTTGATCACTTTGTCATACAAAACATTTGCTTTTTTAATCAGATGTATGTACTGTGCTTCAGTTACAAACTCTCAGGGCAATGCACAATATTAAGTAAAAAGGGTGTGAACAACCATGAAAAACACAGGCAATAAAATATAATCAACACAACACATGGGAAACAGATTGAAGCTAGCTAGCTGGAATCCTAGCAAACCTGGACCCCTCCTACCAAAGCCTTTACCTGGTGCCAAAAAAGAAGCTACACTGATTTTACTCTAAGCAGTGGTATGATGTGCCACAGCTGAAAAGCCCCTCTCTCTGGTCACCAACTGTTTAATCTTAGAAGATGGAAACTCTCAAAAGCAAAGTCTTAGGCAATGAACATAACAGATCAACCTGCTCAATCGTACTCTAGTCCACAAAAGATTAATTTGTTACCTGAAGGTTTTAATAATGGAAATAAATTCAGAGACATCTATTGTAATAATAATTATTAACATTTAAGCATAAACAAAAGTTGAAATAATTTTATTGACACTGTATCATACAACAAAAACCGTCATTCCAATTAGACGTTGAAAGCACAATTCTCATTCTTCTAGCTGCATTCAGTATTAGGAAAGTATTCGAATTTCTTTTGTACTTTATTGAAAGCCTTACAAACATTGGGTTGAATCCAGATAAAGTCAAATATAAAACAGACCCACTGAAATCAATGACACTCTTTCTAGACCCAATTAACTTAAGTCCCTGTGATTTCACTGGGAACGCTGTAAGTTTATCTAAGGGCAGTATCTAATAGGGCCACTACTTAACATCTTTCTTGTTCAGGTTCTGTTGTACAACCAGGATCCGCAGCTTGTGGATTTAACATGTCTTACAGGAAGCCCTGAAATGAGTAAAAATTCTCATTTCTTGATTAAGTCAGTTCAGTGGAACTCAGAATTCAAGCTCTGCTGAGCTGCTCTCTTCCAGAAATGAATATTTCCACTATTTTCCAGTTGCTTCCTGAAGTGCTAAATCTCTGTTGCATAAGCAGTGGATCTTGCTTGCAAAACAAACAGGGTGGCGATCCAGAATCCTATGGGGCAGATATATCCCGAAGTCTGGATCCAACTCGCTGGATTGCACCCAACAGTGTCAATCCAACAGCAGAAAGATTTCCGCTAGTGGAACAGATTACGCTTTTCTGAAATCTTCCCCAAATCTGCTCCAGAGGATGGGGAAATGCTATGGAGCAACTGGAGGGGCACAGTAGGGAACTGGAGAAGGAAAAACCCCACAATGGGGGTGGAAGTCCACTCATGTAATGCTGGCTGTAGCCTAATGTCCAGAATGTAGAGCCCTACATATATATGGGTGTCCTTTGCCAGACATTATCACCTGACTTATCCCAAAATAGGGAGGGATCTGTTTCCATCTATGGGCTGGTCCACACACATGCAAGCATCAAGAAGGGAAAGCATTTTTTGGGAGAGAGAAAAAATGGTAGCAACTTTCCACTAAATTATGGAAGGTATGCTGATTTGAGACCCTTCTTCCATGGGCTGAGGTTGGCTTGTTTCAAACAAACCACAGTTAACATTAATCACAGCTTGTAAGTTTTGACAACAGAAGCAGCACTGATTAAGCAAAAGTGGAAGTGATACTTTCAAAACGTTTCATTGTAGCCATATTGGAGAAGAGATGTGGAACACTTGCGCCTTAGCTTCCTTACAGCTCATTCTTGATGTCCAAATATTTTCTGCATTCAGCTTTCTTGAAGATTGTACATCACCAAGAAAACTCATTTCAGAACTTGCAATGTTTTTTCATCTTCTCCAGCTTCCATGGTGGCACTAAGCAACACCCAGCCTAGCAGTATTGATGGCTATTAAATTAGTTGTTGCTGTTGTTCAGTTGCAAAGTCATGCCTGAGTCCTCGCAACCCCATGGACAACATTAAATTAGTACAGAAGCTCATCTCAAAAGCATGCGATCTCATTAAGTACAAAGTTAGGATTTCACTGTTTCCTCTTCCTGATTTTGTGCTTATGTTATGCATAACATTTAAAAGGAACATCCGGACTGCTGTTAAAAAAACACTTTGACTCTACTTTTATTTTTATTTTCTTTGGCCATAGCAAATTTGTTTTACTATAGAATTGTTTAGATTTTTTGGCAACTTAGAAGAGTCAAGCTAACTGTAGTTGACTGCTTGCCACTCAGTCCTCTATGTCTTCTCAGAAGTAAGCCATACTGACTTCAATGGGACTTACTCCTAGGCAGGGGAAGTTGGTGATTCTGATATCAGCAGGTATCCTCATCTATTGCAGCATCTCTTTTTAGCTTTATAGGAACTATGCATGGTGCTCCAAGATGGTGAACTTATGTAGCGTTCAGAATTATGGATAGCTTCTCTAAAGCTGAAAAGAAAAGCTGTAATGGCTGAGGAACCCCACTGAGACAATAGCCTCCTCTACTCCCACTAAGTGTACATTAAAGCCCTACACATTAAGGCACAACTCACAGGAAATTCATATTCAATAAACACAGAACATAAAAGTTTAAAATATTGTTATTTAAGATTACATTTGTACAATAAAAATGTCTAAAATATATAAATTGAGATTTAGAAAAGCAAATATATTTACATTCAGTTTCACATTGTCACTGTTGATATACTGGATTATTAACATTGGCTGCATTTTAACACTTTATACAATTAAAATATGATTCCTATTCATTTGATATTTACACATGACCCAGTTTTAAAAAATGGTTTCTCTATTTTGAAAACAAGGGAAGAAAGGAAAATGAAATTTTCACTTAAAGAGTCTGGCATTATGCCAGACAGCAAGTGAAAGTACACAGTTTGACAAGAAATCTTTAGGAATGTATTAAAGGAATTTGGAAGCCACAAAGTAACATTTATCAACTGCTTTTCAAAATAAGACATACTGCAACATACTGAGAAAAGCAGATGATGGATCTTGTTGCTAGAAATAGGTAAGGCAAAGGACAAAATGTCCAGGACATAATATAACAATATGCAAACCTGATGTAAAGAATAGTGAAATTTCTTGACTCAGTGAAACTGTAAGATACCCCATATACTGAGTGTCAAAGTTCATACTTCATAGTAAAAATGACAGACATTTTATAAGAGTGAAGTGAACATGAACAAAAATGCTCTGTTACTACTCACTGTCCAGGATTTTGAAAATATTTAAGCAAGCAAACTAATTTTCCTCCATCCTATTATGATTTTCGTCGGTCATAATCACTGACCATCCTTTTGATGTGCGACAGTTTGCCCTTTAGCATCTTGCAGTGTGATTTTCGGGTCTTATAGTCCACTGACTAAACACAAAAAGTAACATAGTATTAATATGCAAGGAAAATAAGTCATTTTAATTCTGAGAATACAATAGTAATATAATGACAAACATGGTGTTGTTTAGTTAAAATTATGCCCCAGTAACAGAACACTCACCAACTCTGGACAGGGTGTTCAACAGCCACCTCACCCGAGCAGTAAGGAGCCACTGGCAGCAACCCTTCTTCCCTCAAACTAACTGAGAGGGAATGAGTGTTGTTACACTTTCCAATACTTTTTAAAAATATACTGAATCTGTAAATTTTTTAAGCAATGTCACGCAGGTAACTGTATGTTCATGCTTCATTAGCAGTGTGAATTTAGTGATGGCATTATTGATTTACTGATGCTTGAACAGCAACAACACATACATATCTACTCAGAAGTCAGTCCAACTGAATTCAGCTGGTATAAGATTACAGCGTAAGCCAGTTAAAATCAGATTAGACAAGATATATTAAATGAGGTGCAGTTCCACCTATTACAGAAGCAGTAGCAGTTCCTTTTAAAAAGACCTTGCAGTTTGGGGCGCATACAGAAGCACCAGTGTTGGCAGCCCTTGGCTGATTGATCAAAGATTTGCCAAGCCCAGCTTGTACTGTGCTTCTGAAATATGCAGAAGCCCAGGAGGATCTCAGGCTCCTCTCTCCAGTTCAAAGTTTGGAGCTCGGGGGGATTCTGCCCAAACCAAAAAACTTGCAAAAAATGTCCTTGCCCCACCCCAAAAGCTTAATGTTGGAGGGAAGGCAGAAGTATACATTGGTCCTCACTTTTTAGATATATGAAATACCAATCAAATGCAGAGACTCCAAGCTGATAACAGAGATAATAGCTTGTTCTACCACTGCAGCCTGATAAGTGCTCTGAGCAAACTCCCCCTGCTCTTTTGACTGAGGGACATTAAATACTGTATTTTTCAGTGTATAGGATGATACTTTTTCTTTAAAATATTTACCTAAAAATGGAGGGG